AGAGAAAACGACCACCCACTGAGGATGAGGAGCAGCTAACTCATGATCCTGGGGTTCAGTCAGCTGAAGAGGGGCAATAGGGTATCCTATTCTTCCTAAACTCCTCCCACGTCTAATCTTGTTCTTGAATGGATCCATCCCTTGATGGTATGGAAAGGACATCAGCTAGCAAGATACCCTGACTCCCTGTACCACCTGCCTGTTGTTGTTGTTTAATTATAGCTGTCACCACCTTCTTTACCCACAATTCAGGACACATAAAAACAAGATTTATCTAGTCCAGAGTGCATTTCAAACAGCAGAAATCAGACATCTGTGAGAAGACCACAGGCTGCACAGAAGTGCAATTGGATCTCCTGCTCATGTTCTCCAGTAGGTAGTGTTCAGATGCCAGTGACAGGCAGTGGCTGTTTGTACACGTTGTAGAGAACATAATTTTACTCACTTCCTGGATGTGCAATTCATATTTTCATCAGCCTGCCAATTTCAAAAATCAGGTCCTGGCTGCAAAACCTTCTTATAACTCCACCCAAGTGGATCACCAATCACAGACTCAAAGACACACCCATTTATAAAAATGAAAAACAGATGATGGAAAATAATGTTATAAAAAATCCAGTAAAGAATCATCTACAACTTACGTAAAAAGTACAAGTTTTGCTTATGAAAGGTGGAAGGGAAATAAAAAAACTGCCTAATGTATTAAATACATATGAAAATTATCTGTTTCCTTCAAAATTCTTACAGCTAAGAAAATTTTTATTTTTTTAAAATAATATTTTTATATACATCATTCCTTTTTATATCATTTCCCTTTATTATATAACTCTGTTCCAGACTGCAGTATAGAAGATATCCCTTAATAATTAAGATATAAACACTCTCGGAGGCAGTTTGTGGGCTGATCTGAGAAATGATTAACCATTCCGAACTGACCATCAGTCTGTTCCCAGTTATGACAATTTCTTCCCAATATTTTTAAAAATAGTAAACAATACTTTTTACACTAATGATATTGGCTTCTTTGACTCTTTGTGGTCCATGGGGAAGTAAAGTTCACTGTGGTGTTGATGCTCAGTAACAACTCCTGGGATTACAACATCACCCCAGCAATGTCTTGTCCAATAGAGATTAGAATCATTTTGGGTCTGTTCCAAAGCTGGGGATGTAGACGAGAGAAGTCTGCTGATTCTGTTCCCTCAGGCATCTTGGTCTCCCTGGGACTGCTGAACTCAACAACTGGCTACATAAGGCATGAAACATGTTCCACTGATGTGTGAAATATTTTGCTGTTCAATCAACAAAAGCTTCAATTTAGATTTTTTTGTTTTTGTTTAAGGCTTCTCTTAGTATTGTAACACAACAGCCAAAATGCTTCAAACATATAAATTCAGGCTCCACCAGGATTGTGAAAGCCAACTTATAAAAGTCGTCTTATCAGAGAAAGATGGTCAGTTCTGATTATCTGATAAGAAAACCATGATAGAGTGGTATGGAAATTAATCAGATTTAGCATTAGGAAAGGGGGGGGGGAGAAACTACACCACCATGTGGAGACTCCTTCAAAACTTTTGATTTGTTGCCTTCTGTCTATGCGCAGCAGTTGGGAGCTATTAATTTGTGACTAAAGCTTGCTTTCTTACTTGTTCCAATTAGTTAATTAAAATTGGAACATTTCTTTTGAAGGGAAAACTACAGTATATGCAAATTAGCACTGACCTCTTCCTCTTCCTCTCTCTTGCTCCCCCTTCTTTTCTGAGGGATTCTTGAGAACACATTTCTTGTCATTCAGCGCATGTAAGAGGCAAGCCATGTGTTCGCTGGAGTTTGTTAATATTCAAGAGGCCAGCATCCTTGAAATGGGAAGGAGGGGGACAGGGAGAATGGGTACTGTTGCCGTCTAAAGCCAACTGAAGCTGAACTTGAAGATGGATAGTGTGAAGAATCCCTGGATTTGGTCTAAACAGGGAAGGATTTTAACATTCTAACAAAATTTTCCAGTTTCTCCCTTAAGAGCCTTCAACTCACTGCACAGAAATACATGGACACGGCTTTAGCAATTAACAGTTTTTAAAGGAAAAGTAGCTTTGGGAGAAGTGCCTGAAAAAGAGCAGCAAGATAGACCACTGATAACTCCTTCCCACTTTTTTTCCCTCCGTAAGTGGTCTTTGCCCAGGTTCCTGATACATGTTTGCAAGGGGAAACAGACTTTGGAATGCTGTGGGAGCAAAAGCAACTCTATTGCCAAGAGACTTTTGGTTGTGGTGGTACAGAAACACATCCATCCATAGTTGGGGATGATAGGCAGAGAAAGCACTCTGCTCATTCAGAAAAGCTTTTTATTTAAAAACATGCCTGCTGGGATATTGATTTGTGTACAATAAGTAGTTGAATTCAAGGGTGGGAAGTGCTCCCCCCACCTCAGTTTTCTGCATTCAGGAACTCTCCTCACACCAAGGTATCCTGAAAGCACTAAAGAGCATTTTGGGAATCAGGGAGCTGGCTGGGGAATTCTGGGAGCTGAAGTCCACGCATCTTAAAGTTGCCAAGTTTGAAAAACACTGATCTAGAGAAACCTGCTGAAATCAGTAAGATGGTTTCAATAGGTTTGCCATAAATATGATTAAGTCTGGGTCCAGCCCATTGTATTAAGTTTTTCATTAAATCTAGGACCTTAAGGAGAACACAGTAGCAAAAAGCTGCAGGAAGATGACTGGCTTAGGACAAAGATCAAGATGATGTAGTTTAACCCTTTTTTCCCACAGTCCCAAAGACCATCCTTTCTAAAGCTATTCTTCTTACTCAGGAAGGTTAAATTATCCTCTCTAGCCAAGGTGGTCTTGTTTCTAATCACCTCTTCACATGCTTGCTGCTTTTTTAAAAAAGAGTCCAGATTAGTGCAAAACATATTTGCACTAATAAATTAATTCCCTAGCCCTCCATCCTGATAGTATGCTTGTCTGGTCAGGGACTTCATTTTAAAAATTAATGTTTTATTTTTTTCTTTGTTCTAAACTGCCCAGTCTCACAACAGGGCAGTTTATAAACATTACAAATACATAATTTTTATATAATTGTATTGGAAATTTTAAAAACAAAGATAAAAACTAATACAAACTAATAGTAAGGAAGAAAAAAGAAAAAGAAAAATCAAAGAGAGCTAAAAGTGCATGATAAGAAAAAAAAAGAAAGAAAAATAGAAAAGAAAGAAAAAAGGATACTGGAAAAAATAGGAAAAAAAAAGAAAAAATGGCTATGAAGGGGAACTGCCTACTCTTCCTACACAATAATTCACTTGAATGAGGGGGTGCTTAGAACAACAACAAAAAGAAGTAAATAATGACAAATAACTTCACCCTATTTCTGGCATCAAATCCATTCAGATCAATCCATCTCCAATGGCCTTCCAGAAAAGTCAACTCTTGACCAGTCTCAGGAGTGGGAGGAGAGCCTCCCCAGAGGATCCCACCTTTATGCCCCGCCCCCATCATCCATCCTGATAGGTGGTGAACTTGAGCAGGCATTCTTTGCTCATCTGGACTGGCAGGCAAGGATGGGGGTGGGGTCTTGAAGATGCCCAGGTCCCAAGCCGTAGGTAGGTGGTAGTTATGAGTTAGCTTGGTGGTAGTTATGAGTTATGGCCAGCACCTTGAATTACACTCAGACCCATTTCCTAACAAAGAAGCGGAACTATTATAAAAGTGCCCCCCCTCCTGCCAACCCTTGCAGGTGGCCCAGAAGGATACTGTGGTTGCCAGTACTGAAGGCTGCTGAGAGGTAAAGCAGGACAGGAGTGAACATACTCCATTTCAGCCTGTAGAGAGTAAAAAAGATGCCCTTGATGGAGATATGCAAGCTCCGTTGCCAAGAGGTAAAACATTTTTAAAGTCCAGAATATCCAGATAACATTCGGAAGTAACTCAGAAGATACTTTCCTAATTCACTGAATTATAAGCGGGGAGGAGGAGGTATAACACAATCAGTCTTGCAAGATTCTGTTGTTATAGCCAGTCTCAATAAAAGTAGTTTTAGCCTTCTTGTAGAGGTGATTTCTTGGTCTGGTCTCCTTAGTTGGGCTGACACGGCCCCACCACAAGTCATCAGAGAACAACCAACATGATTTCCAGCCAGCACCCAGCCTGAATCCTGACTGCCAGAGGTTCAAATAATCCATAATGCCCCACTACTTTCTCTACCACCTTCCTCCCAAAGATATAGGGCAGTAGTTGTCTACAGAGGTTGGATCCAAGGCAGGCCCTCTTTTGGGTTGCTGACTTGGCATCTCCCCCTCCTGCAAGTACATGTTGACTGCAGCTAGGATCCAACTCCTTGTCCCCTTTCTGGACAAGGCTGTGGGAGATGTTCCAAGGCAGGCTCAAGTGAGGAACCAGCCACGCCTTGACCAAGCTTGTGCCCTCCCTAGGAGCATCTGGAACCAACCAGCGACTGCCTCTCCACATAACCACACAGCAAGGCCCAAAAGAGCCAGGTGCAGACCACATCAGACTGGCATTTTGGATGCAACTGCTTGTGAAGGACTCCAGAATCAGGAAGCATTATAGTCTATTCCAGATTTGTTCTACATGAGCAAAGGATTGCTCATTGCTCATTGTTTCAGTAGGATGCTTGTTCGCTTCTGTGGCTTTCTTCTTCCCATTCGCTTCCCATTATTGAGAGCAAGACTTGATCTGAGCGGCAGCCATGTTTTGCACATGCTCAGAGACACATTTTCGGAGCGCTGCTGATAGGAGATGCGCCTCCTTACGTGTTTCAGGACCCTAGGTCGGTACTGATCACAGTTTCTAGGTGAGGTAAGGCAAGGGCGGAGCGCCGGAGAAGGCGGCGGCGGCAAGAGCGAGGCGGTCGCGGTGCTCGTTCGCCCAGTAGGTGGAGCCGTTCGAGCTCCCCCAATCTCCTCGCTGGACAGGAGGGGCTGCCGGACTCGGGCACCGTCGCAGCGCCGCCTCTGCCGTCGCCAGCGCATAACCGGATCCTGCGGAGCCAGCCCAGTTGCCGCCGAGGGTTCTCCGGACGCGCCATGGCCGGGTAGCGGGAGCCGGTGGCGCGGCCAGAATGCTGCGGGCGCCGGCTGTGGCGATGCGCTTCGCCATCCTCTTGCCGCTGCTCGTCGGCCCCGGCTGGTCGGCTCTGGGCAAGGCACAGCCGGGGG